GGCGCGCCTGGCACCCCTTCCCCGCGCCGCTCCGGCCTTTAAACCGCCACGCTAATCCCCCCTAACCGGATTAAAGCCCGCCGCCCGACCCGGCCCCGCTGCCGGGGCGTTGACACGGGCCCTGCAGGCACAGGGAGGGTCGTCCCGAAACAGCCAGGCAGGGCGCTCGGCAGGAGAGGGGAGCTGCACCGACCCTCCAGTGCTGGCCTCCCCCCTTCTCTCCCTCTCTGCCGCCGCTGTGGGGCAAACACAGCGAGGTCGGCCGGGTGTTTTGGCCCAGCGGTGAGGTCTTTCTCCCCTGCCACCTCCTTCTGCTCCTCCTGGCCCTTGCGATGAGTCTTGTTTGCCTGTGCCATCAGCGTCCCTGGGTTCTGTGCTCCTCTGCCCAGCAGCTAAGGCAGCAGCAGGTGGTTTGCATGGGCACATTCCTCGATACTTGTGCATTGAAACTACAAATGGACTGGACTAAAGGTAGGGGAAGGAACTGCTCTTAGGTCAAGTGTCCCGGCAGGAGGCAAGGCCGTCAATGGCAGAAACAGCAACTTTTGTTGGTAGGTATGTCTGTAAAGCAGAGTTGCAGCTCTGTGTGAGAGGGATGTCATGCCCAACCTGCACAGAGCATCTCTGGAGTCATGGAGTCATGACAGGTGTTGAGGATGGGGCACTGTCTGTAAGAGAAATGATGGGTTAAAAGAAGGAGCTAGGCCATTCTTCTCCTGTGGTTGCATATACTTTCGAGGTCTAGATTCCAAACAGGGCGCTATGCTCTTTGGAACAGGGTGGTCCCTCCATGTGTGTTTGTACAGCACCTAGCGTCTCTGATCCCAGAGAAAGCAGTTGCTTTCCTACAAAACCAGTAGAGGCGGAATCCAGGACCCGTTACACTGAACAAAACTGCAGGCCATTAAAATGGGTCTGTATGAGTCCGTCTGTTATCCGGCACTTCAAAGGTCCCTATAAGCAGTTGCTCCTTCCTCTTTCCACCGCTGGTTTTTCCCCTTAAAGACACTCCTTTCTCCTCCCCTCCCCGCTCACCAGATGTAAGCAGCTGTCAGCAGTATGTAAGATTTACATCTTTCTTCTCCAGTACTGCTCCTATAGTGCTCTTGGGGTTTGTATTTGTTTTATTTTAGCCAGTTCACTAAAATCAGTTCCTCTTCCTCTCCCTCTGGCTATTACCCCCCCCCCTTCCCAGCTGCTGGTATGCAATTTCTATACCCCCATAATCTACACTGGCAGCTGCGTCCCCAAATCCCACCAGCTGCTGGTCCCTGGGCCAGTCAAAACAGGTGGAAGGAGCTGGCTGGCCAGTGTCTCAGGGGAGCCAGGGCTGTTGGTGAGAGCAGAAACATTGCGGTGCAGATAGGTGGAGAGCGTGTGGTGTGGTGGCGGCAGGCGCAGGGTGTGGGAGTGATCTGAGGGTGGGCTCTGGCACATGGTTAACTTGTTTAGGGTGGGAAGGACAGTTGCAGCTTGGTTGATAACCCTGTAATGGAAAGCCTGCTGACATGACTAGCTCTGCTAATTGCAGTTAGTAAAGGACTTTGTACCACTTGATACATTAACTTTTACTCTAATTCATATATTTTTAAAGATACTTACCCAATCTAAGTGAACTTCTTTGCTGTTACAGCAAAGGAGCAGCTGAATAAATACTGCACTGTGCTGCAGCATTGATGGATAGGTGGGTTTAGCTCAAAATTTGATTTGTATGTGTGTGTGCACAGAGGAAGTGGAAAATATGGAAAATGATATTTGCATGACAGCATTCATTTTGCTGCTATTGTTTAAAGTGGTATTTCAATTACTTTCTTTGCAATTCCAACCAAATCCAATGAAAACCAAAGGACATCAGTCTAGTCATATTAAAATCACTTGAGAGTTTCCAAATATTAGAAAGATGGCCTTTTGATTTTTTCTGGAAATAGAAAATGTATGTTGGTTTGCTTCCCCCGCCCCCTGCCCCCAAGTGACCTAAGCTTTATTATAGTGCTGTGCTTAATAAGCTTAAAAAAAACCCTAAAAGTAAGGACACCTGCTACTAACAGTTGTAGCTATAAGATTCCAAAACATGACAGATGTGTCCCATGGTGATGTCTCAAACTGTATCAGGTTTATGTTTTGTTTTTGTCACTAAAGCACCCACTTGTCCTTTGGCAACTGGAGATTCTGAAAAAAAGGAACAGTGCTGAAAAAGGCGGGAGAGAGGTGCCATGCATATCCTCCCAGAAGCCACCTAGGTGGGGTGGGGGTGGAATTTGCTCCTCTTTCTTGTCTTTATGAAAAATAAAATTGTGTCAGCAAACTAGGTTGTAATCCTCCATGAGATAAGAAGAGCAGAGAAGCCATGAAGAGAAAGCCAGTTCCTGAAATAATCAGGGTGCTATGAAGTTCCTCCACCTTAGCCCGTACAGACTGTGGCTTCTTTCCTGCAGGCCACAGATTTCCAGGGCCCTGTATCGCAATCCCATCGACAGCAGCACCTGCCTAAACGACTGAGGCCCAACACCGTTGCTGTAAAGGCAGTCGACAAGAACAATAGGAGATCAGATTACTTTATTGTTATCTATAGAGAGCACGCCTAATTTGCAGCCACTCATCTCACTGTATTAAATCTGGAGTAAACACTAATTAATATAATGGCTGTAATAGATTAGCAAGGGAAAGTATGCTGTTCGCTGCTCACCCCCTCCTCCCCCAGATCACACCGGCTTGCCTGGTGGTGGTAAAATCCACAGAATAAGACAAGTCATGGTATTTTCTGAAATCCATCTTTGAACTAGCCAGAGGTTTCATCCATTCAGCCCCTCGGGTTTCCCAGGAGTCCAAGCCCGCCGACGGTGCCTCGGTTTTCTCAAGTTCATTAGCGCTATACATAACGGTATTAAACTAGTAACCCGGGTTTATCGGTGTTATCTCTAGTGGCACTCGGTAAGCGGCCGGTGCTTGACCCGGCTGGATCAGGACCCGCCGGAGACTCCCGTGTTTGATTTCCAGCGTCCTGCTGCTCCCTGCCCGGAGCCTCCAAATGGGGAGCGGCCGCCACAGGGGCGAGGGGGGGAGGGCCGAGGACTTTCGCT